ATAAATATCAGTCCCCAAACACTTTTCTAATAAACATCTAATATAGTTAGTATTATACTTTTTTCAGTTTTATATTGTATCATGGTAAAAAAATGTATTTAACAGAATGTAAATAAAAGTACACAGTCAGTCTTCTATCTTTGTCTTTTTTGGCTTCCGATTCATTTTGGAGCAGGTTCATTTGATTCAAGACTTGAAATCTTACAGAAACCTATACAGAAAATTAATGTGAAATTATTATTTTTTTTAGTAACACATTATGGCATTTTCTTCAGACCCCTTAGCTATTGGCCCTTGTGGGACCCTAATTTGAGGTATACTAGTCTACAGAATCATTCGCTCACTTTCTGTAACTTTCCGATTTGTTTTTCTGCTTCAGCAAAGAGCAGCACTTGCGCCTCCAGCCCCTGCCTGAACGGAGGAACGTGCGTGGGTGGTGGTGACACGTTCACCTGCATCTGTAAAGACGGCTGGGAGGGGCCCACCTGTGCTCAGAGTGAGTGAATTCCCCCATTCACTATTTAGCTGCCAGTGCATGTCTGCATACCACTGAAAGCAAATATCATGATCCAAAGAAGTGTTCATTTACAATCGATCGATGCGCAAATGCCTTGCATTGACTCTCGCTTCCTCTCTTGTAATTCATTGCAGACATCAACGACTGTAACCCTCACCCCTGGTAAGAAGACCTATGTGGCTCTGCAGTTGTTCCTCTTCTTTTTTTACTCTATTCTGCCTGGGGACGCCAGTAGATCTGTTGTGCCCTCTGTTTGGGCCGACCCTCCTCTTCCCTGTACAACATAGACGGCTAGGAATAACCCTTCTAATATGGCTTTCTGCCCTATTCCACCCTGTTGTTCCTTCCCCGCTAACCCCTATTCTCTGTGAGCGGATGCACGAGGGGAGGGGTTTGTAGGGGGACGTTGGTTGTAAAGACTGGAGAAGATGCCCCTAAATCACCCCTAAATCCCACAGCTCAGGAGACCCCGGGCTGGTTTTAATGGGGACCACAATAGAGCCAATGGCCCTAAAAGAGCACCCCCAGCGGTGAGGGGAGGAGGGGATGGACAGGCTCTTTTTCTTCCAGCCTGCTCTGTCCTCCTGCCTTTCTTCATCGCTGACCTGGGAGCAAGGGATTTGGGAGGTGGGGCAGAAGAGGGGGTGGGGATCCCAGCAAGGAGCCACTGTGGGGATTTGCATCTGAAAGGTGCCAGTATCCCGCATCCCGCTTCTTCCATCTCTCTTTAACTCTTTTCTTCCCCCTTTTTCCTGCCTTTCCTCTTCTATGCATGTATATTGGAAGTATCATGTCAATCACTGAGGCGAAGGTGTCCCTTTGGGCTGATAACCTCATTGTCCTCGCGTCTCCTTGCAGCTACAATGGAGGAATCTGCGTGGACGGGGTGAACTGGTTCCGTTGTGAATGCGCCCCTGGATTCGCTGGACCCGACTGTCGTATCAGTGAGTATCTTGAGGAGGAAAGAATGGGGATGTATAGAAAGAGGGTGCTGGTGGATTACCGAGCATCCCGTGCCCTTTGACCTCCTCGGGGGTCAAAGGTTAGCTATGCCCCACAAAAAGACAGGAGATAAATTATTCAACCAGTGAAAAAATTCCTCTTCTTGTGTCTCTTGTGTCCATTGATGGCTCTGACGTACTCTTTAAGGATTCCATGCATTTCCCCGGCCTCATTTTCTGAGGTGCAGCCATGGGAACGCCATCAATCCTGACACTTTATGTATTGATTTGAAATCACAGTTTTAGCTTTCCTAACCATTTGACGTTTCTGCCCTAGGCAGTAGGTGTACTGATGCGAATGCATGTTCTCTTTGCTTCATCAGACATTGATGAGTGCCAGTCGTCACCCTGCGCCTATGGTGCCACCTGTGTAGATGAGATCAATGGCTTCCGATGTGTCTGCCCACTCGGTCGCACCGGACCTCAATGCCAAGAGTGTAAGAGTTATTGTTTAATCATTAAATCAGTCAATCTCTTTTCATCTCTCAGCTTGCTGATATTGAGAAATGAACCTTAAAGTCCCCATGAAATCATGTGCTTTGCTTATTATTTCAAAGTGAGAGCCTCAAATATAGCCAGAATGGTTTATTTACTTCACAGCCATGAACATTAATTCTGCTTGTTAGTCGGAAGCAGTTGGGACATTCCCTCTCTAGAGAGCATTTGATTGGCCAAAAATCTATCTAGTGCAGGATGAGTCATAAATATTTTTTGTATGTTTTCTGGAAAAGAAACAATGTACATTTTAAATGTATATACTGCTGTTCAAAAATTTGGAGTCTGTAAGATTTTTAAAATGTTTTGAAAGAAGTCTTATATACTCACCAATGCTGCATTTATTTGATAGAAAATACAGTAAAAATACAAATATAAAACAACTGTTTTCTATTTTCATATATTTTAAAATGTAATTTATTTCTGTGATGGCAAAGCTAAATTGTCAGCAGCCATTATTTAAATGTCGTATGATCTTTCAGAAATCATTATAATACTGTGATTTGGCACACTAGCGTATAGATAAGCTAAAAGCTAATAGATGTGGATCTAAAGCCACAAAACGGAATATGATTCCTAAGGAGTGAACGACATGAAAGGCAGGCGGCATCGTTCATAAGAGCATTGACCTGGCATCATGTGACTTAGATCATTCCAGACAGGAAAGTGATCTGCTCCTAATTTAGAATTGGCCCTAGTCTTACGGTGTTTGTGTTGTGGTGCAGTCATTGGCATTGGGAAGACGTGTCACTATGCTGGACTTCAGTTCCCGCATGGTAGCCGCTGGGAGGAAGAATGCAACACTTGTCAATGTGTCAACGGCAAAGTAGAGTGCACCAAGGTAAGTGCCTGAAGAAAACATGTCAAAAATGTATTTTTTTCTTTTTATTTATATATAAATAAATGAATTTGTTAATGAAACTTTCTCAGGTGGTGTGTGGCCGGCGGCCGTGCCTGTTGCCAGGGACGCCAGGGCGAGAGCTTCACTCCTGTCCAGGAGGTCGAGAATGCCTGGAGCACAACTTCCTGACGTGTCTCTCTCCCCCTTGCCATCAGTGGGGGTTTTGTTCAAGCCCTGAAGCCACCCTGTCCCTCCAAACCAAATGTGAGCCCAACTCCGTCTATCTGGACAAGAGCTGTGCTCGCATCACCCTTATATTCAACAGGGACAAACTACCCACAGTAAGTATTCACCTTTAAGTTGGTGTTTTGTTCCATTACACAAAAGCCCTGTGGTGGTACCATGGTACAAAGATGGTAATACCATACTCAAATAAATACCGCCATGGTGAGCATAAGAGACTTCTTTCAAAAACATTAAAATCTTCCCGACTCCTAACTTTTCAATGGTAGTCTGTCCATAAAATCATGGTATTACCAGGGTAACATGATTACATAGAAGACATAGCAGTAACTTAACTTTAATATGACAACAGTCTTATCACAAAAGACGTTGGTATATTTCTGAAAAATATCATAATACCTTAGTACTTTGGTATTGTAGTTGTCCAAATATGTCTAAAAATTCCAGAAAATATGATATTACAAGGGTACCATGTCCACAAAGCAATGGTAGTAATGTGGTACTTTGGCATTTCCAGTAATCTGTCTGTGTCCAAAAAAAATTATACTAGCAGGCCACAATGTCTAAAAAAAAAGGTGGTAATGTTATATGGTGCTGTACCTTTTTGATCCTTCTCCTAACGTATTTACATTATGATCCACAATATAGTGTTGTTTCTGAAATATTGTTCTAAGTACGCACTCTGCATTGTAGGGAACAACAGTGGAGAACGTCTGCTCAGAGCTGAGGTATATGCCTGCCACGCGTAGCCTGGCGAAAGATCGCATGCTGTTGGTTCTTTGTGACCTCTCCTACAAAAACCAGGACGCAGTAGAGGTGGCCATAGTAAGTACATTTTGAAGACCCTCGCTTTGTGCACCAAGGGAGAGCTTTCTATGCTCGCACATTTTAAATTCATGAGTCCTTTGCACGCCTGTACCCTTCACACAGGGATGTGTGGGCCCCCAAGGTTTATTATCAGCAGAATAGAAAGTCAAAACCATGGGGGTTCTGGATACTCATCGCACAAATCTGTTAATGGATGCAAATTTGATTTCCTCACCAAGTCGAGCGCAGTTCCTCGAAATGCCCGGACGCCCAGAGCAATGCCAACCGGCCCCCTCTTCAAACCAGCCCATTATGTTGTAATGAGATTCAGTTGACTGACCAGCAGCGGGCCGTACTGCATTGCAGCATTCCCTCCACCCACACGGAGAGTGCTGGAAACGGGCTTCAGCGCATCTCACACAGCCTTAGGATATACACTTTTGTCTTTAAACAAATAAATGTTGCACAACCAAATAAGCTTGAAATAACAAAAATATACTTGGGTAATGATATGACAATTAATATCTTTGTTTTGTCAGGCAAGTTTTGTGTAATTTGAAGCCATGTTTCCGGTGTTCAATGAAACATTTTGCCTTACGGAAGTTACTTACAAATAGTGGTTACCTACAAATGCATCCTTTATCCTCGATCAGATTACACTAAATCCCTGCAGTGTTGTAACAAGTCAATAACTGAAGGCCCATGTTTAACTGTCCTGACTCATTAAAATGGAACCTGTAGGCAGGAACTTTGAACAGCTGCAGGTTTTTGCATGTTGAAAACAGAATAGAGTTGAAATGATTGAGTCAGCTGCTTTTTGGATAAAGACTGCTCTCGTTTTAGTCATTTTACTGAGCGTATTGTCATAAATTGATTACAGGTGTCTTTTTGTTCTCGTAACAAAATTTTCAGGGGTTTTTTGGGGAGGTCTGTACCACCATACTTGTATGATGTAAACAAATTTGAAACATTAGAGTTGTTGTGTGGTTTAACCATACATTGTCCACTGGTTCCATCACAAATTAAAAAGGATTTGTATTCTAACATTGTTTACTAGAATTAATGTATTTTTCATTAAATATGTGTTGCTATATTAAATGTTTAAAAGACTATTTTTGCTAGCTTAAAAACATATTGGTGACAAATCAGAATTTTTAACAACGGAGAAAACATTACAGAAAACCGAACATTCTGGTTAACAAGACATAAAAATCGGATGTAGAAGATCAACAAATACGGGATTGTCAAGTGTCAATGCAGCAACGCCCCAAAACCTCACATTTACAATAAATAATTGTTAATTGTTCTTTGTAGGTGGCTTTTATTTGGAATCTTGGCCTCATATTACATGTTTGGGATACAATCTAAACTATATTTAATCCCCATTATTTCTCCTGCAGTCGTTCCAGCAGGACGAGCAGCCTAACCAAAGTCAGATCCAGGAGGCAGCTAGTACCATAGTCAGCACACTGTCCAAACGGCACAACAGCACCGCCATGCTTGCCGTCATCGAGGTCAAAGTGGAGATGCCGGTCATGTCCCAGCCAGTGGGTGAGTAGAGCAGGGACCAACTGGTCTTGAGGCTAAAGCCAGCCTTCATCGCCTGACCGAGTGTCAACTCCCCGTCTCCACCAATTAGTGCAGCTTAAATGTCTTTGTGAGTCACAGGAGGAAGGGTACTGAGAGGATCCAGCAGTTGTGGGCAGGAGGCCATAAACCTGTGTGACAGTCATATAACTCCTCTGCAGTCATCTGTCACTCCACAGCAATACATTAATGAGAATGATGGGACAAACTTAATGATTTTTGGGTTAAGACAATTATAAATGGGTTTTTAAAAAAGGAATAATATTTGAAACCTATAGGAATTAAAGCCATATTATTCAAGACATTTTTCTCAATCATTTCTATGTAATGTAACATGGTCGATATTAAAAAAATATACTATTTCGTCTAATAAAAAAAAATCTAAAATAATTCTTGTCAATAGCTAATGATTTTTTTTTAAGTGGCTTCTTATCTTAAAAATGATTTATACATTTAATTTAAATAATTATTTTAGAGTGTTTATTATATTTATTTTTGTGAATACAAAATAGTGTGATTTTTATTTTATTTTATTTTCACTATTTTGACTCAAATGATATCGAAAAATTTATGTATTGCGTGTCCACAACTAAATATCTAATGCTGGCCCATCGAAATATCTATTATTTCAATTCTGTTGTGGCCCATACCACTTAGATGATGGTTATTTTTGTTGTAATGTTATGACTGTTATTATATTATTATACTAATATTATGGCTAATATTACAAAATATATAAAATTGTCTAATTAATAAAAAAAACTTGTCAATAGCAAATGAGTGTTTAAGTGACTTTTGATCTTAAAAATAATTTATATAATTATGTATTTGTTTTAGAGTATTTATTGCCATTTGTATTAGACAAAATAGTGTTTACATATATTTATATTATATATACACACCATTTTATATTATACATATACACACTATTTTGTCTTGAGTAATATTGAAAAATTGGTGTAATTAGTGTCCACAATTAAATATCCAATGCTGGCCAATTAAAATATCCACTATTGACCATTACTGATAAATTAAGTGACATATATCGGCCAATAAAAAATGTTTTTGTTGTGCATCCCTACTTTTTGTTCGTTATTTTCCTCCTTGGCATGAGTCAGATTTGCCGTGTCTGACTCGACTTTCTTTCCATACAGACTACCTGGTGCCTGTGTTGTGTGTCATCTTGTGCATACTCTGGGTCTTCTGCGTCATCGTCTGTGTGTGGTGGACCCGTAAGCGTCGAAAAGAGCGTGAGCGCGTGCCCACGGAGGAGAGCGTCAACAACCAGTGGGAACCGCTGAGGCCCGTGACACGGCCGCAGCACAAGGACAACCGGGACGTGCAGTACGAGCGCACCAAGCTCATGGACTCCCCGGATCGGACCTGCACAAGCGGGGAGGACGAAGAGGAGATGGAGGAGGAAGAGCTAGAGCTGGTGGAAGAGTGGTGTGGGACAGAGGGGGGCAAGGGTCCTATCCAAAAGTACTCTAAACCTGCAGCGCGGACCAAGAACGGGCTGATCTGCACCATGCGGAGCAGCGGTAGCGGCGACTGCAGCAGCCCTTCCCTCAAAGCACCCTACTGGACAGGCTTCAGCCCAAAGGACAACAGCTGTAAAAATGTCAATAATGCCATCACCGGCCAAGAGCACAAAGAACATTGCGTATGAGCTCCGTCGAGCGGGATGAGGAGACCAAGGCCATCTCAGAAACGGGAGTTTTTCCCATGTGTTATTTTTATGTTTGACTTCTTCGAGATGTTTTGAGGCTGATAAAGTGGCAAATTTCTTTAGTTCCTTTTTTATGTACAGAGGAAGCAAATTATATTTCTTTATAAGGAGGCGGTGAGAAGCCTTGCGTTGTTTTCGGAGAAAAAAACTGCTGGATTAGGAGCAGGACTAAGGAACTCGTGAGAGAAAGCGTATAAAGACTTTTACGTTGTTGTTTACAAATGGCTGTGCTTTTGGTTTTGTTTCGAGTGGCCCAATGTCGGTGCAGACCACGTGCGGGAGGTGGGGGACGCTGGCTTCGGGGGATCCCCCTTCAACCGTTCATCTGTTCTCCTTCCACGCCTGCCTTACCGAGCTCGTTGTCCGTGAGGAGGGCTACGGTGCCTATAAAGTGGCCTTGTTTTTTCTGTCCTTTCTGTCATCTTGGCTGAATGCTCTTTAAAAAAAATGGATTGCAGTATTTTGAGTCGGTCGCAAGTGCCTTCAGACAAGCCCCTCGGTTTCAGGGTCTCCTGACCCAATAGATCACGACAAAGAGGAGAGGCTGGTCTTAAGAGCAGCTCCCATATCGCCATCAAGGTATTTGTTTAAACAAAGACAAGAGATCTGTAAATATGTGTATATAATAAAGGAGTCGCTGTGTATATTTGAATTTAGTAACTTAAGTCACTTTTTTTTTTATTATTATTATTATTATTATGATTTAAATATTACGATTATTGTTTTTGTTTTTTTGTTTTAAATACCATTCCTTTTATTTATGCCAGTTGATATGGCATGTTTTGTAAAATGTATACAGCGTCCCAGTCAGAAAAAAATATAATCAGAGATCATCCTATTATGTTGTTGGTTTTTGTTTTCACTAGACACCTATACGATCGTGTGCTGTATTGTGGCGTGTGTGTTCGCCTTCTTGAAGACCCCTATTCCCTTTCCACACCTGTCCTTTCTTGCTGATCATAAAACCATGCTGCTTGTTTCTTGTAAAAATGCTGATATGTCAAAATTATGATCTCCTTCTTTTCTGTTTTTGTTTGTTTGTTTGGTTGGATCTAAACTTCATGAAGGGAGCAATTATGTTGTAAAGCATTTATACTCGAGGTACCAGCTCAAAGAAATGGATTACCTCAGAAATGGCTGGCTATGATTTGATTTCTTTCATCATGATGTTAAATATTAGATTTCGGGGTTTTTTTTGCTTATGGGAAGATGACAAACATTTAAAAATGTTCCTGAACAACTGGTTCACAATCAAGTGCAAGCAAACAAGTATAAATAAGCAAGTTAAGCTCAATGTCCGTTGTGGTAGGGAAATGGGGTGGAGCTGGAGGAGAGTTTTCTTGTTTTGTTTTTTTTAAGATGTATTATTATTTTTTTGTACAGAAGAATTGCTCTGAAAAAAAGTTATTTGGTTCATTTAGTGGAATTTATGTTTGTTCTTAGAAATAAATCAAACTATTTATTAAAGCATTTTATAATAATGTGCTCAAAAGAGCCACTGTCTGCTGGTGTTCAGTACTAAAGGCGCTCGTCTGAGTTTGTGGTAAGTCTTATCATATCGTATTACCAATACAACAAAATAATCCCCCTTCCCCTGCCAGAGGTGAGGACGACTCCGGATCGATACAGGAACTCGTGCTTCCAGTCGAGATGCTACTGACAGGAAGCAGCCAATGGTAACTGGTCTCCTGTTCTCGGCTGACTGCTGGCTAGCCAATGGACGATGGGTTTCTCGTGGCTTCATCTGGTGTGAATGTTTTATGAGAATGCTTATGATGATGCAGTGAGTTTGTTATGGTTTCGTTCCGTAAGTAACGGGCTTTAATGGAACAGAGACCTGGAGTTGTGTTTCACATCACTCCCAATACCATAGTGTTGGGTTTAGGTGTCTCTGATGGTGTAAGTGAACTTGGGTCGTAGAAGTAAAGTGGGGAAAAAGTACTTTGTGAGATAAGGAAAATCCAGTGAAGAAGAGGAGACCAGCGCTGTTGGGAGCTGTAATTAATGAGGGTTTGATAAATGTTTTTAATGGTAAATGGCCTAAATGAAATAAACTAGCAACCCTGTTGTTGCATCCCTTCTTAGATATTCTATGGAAAGCATTGTATAAACAGTGCTTTCATATACCATAAACTTATTGCATTTTTGTGTGAACGCCGTCACGCCACAAGAAAAAATAACAAGGCAAAATCTTTCTTGACCTGATGATGTAAAGCTTTAATGCTCTGGGGTCATTCCTGTTGAGAAATAGATTTGCATATCCCTGTCAAACATTTCTTAATATATGATACATTATTAAAACATTACACAGCTTTCTTTAATCACAATTATTTGAACATAAGGTGAATTAGAAGTTATTTAACCCATTTGAATTGAACGGATGTCATTTTTATCACGTCACTGGCAAAAAAGACACACACATATATATTTATATAGTCTGTTTCTTAATTTCGTTTTGATATGCAATAAAACCATACTTGTTTTTATCTAATGTATAATTTTCCCCCATGTGCCTCAGCATCAGTTCATCCCCTTAGCCTGTCTCTTGATTGCAAAGAAAAAAACAGCACTGCAAATGCAAACAACATCAAATGAAAAGGAAAGAAAATTGACAGAATGGTCAAACTAATTAAGAAAGAATTGAAACCTGCATATTCAAACCTATGTAAAATGTTAAGAAATGTTAAGTCCTTGTTAAAAATACATTTGTAATGCAAACAAAGAAATGAACAGTAAGTACTGTATATCAGCATTGTTACTGCCAGAAAAAATAAATAAACATTTCATTCACAGTTTCTAAAAGGAGATGTATATCTATTTAAATTCTACCAAAGGGAACGTATCTGATTGCATTTATACAATAAATTAAGCAATCAATTGTTTCTTCCTCAAAAAGTTAGAAACATCAGCAAAAGTATAAATTTGGGAGTCAGTTTGGGTATATATTATGCAGTATCCTAAGATGTACTGATCATATTTAGTTAGAAGTGCAGTATTTTTCAGGGAGTAACTATGCTAATATCCACTTTCTCTAATGACATCATACTCCAGGAAGTGACATCACTTTGGAGGCAAAACAGCACAAACCTAAGAAGTATTAGCAGTGGATCTGTCTGATGTTTTCACATTAATCCTGCTACAGTTTGCAGAAAACTTTATGATAATATTAGCATTTCGAAAAATGGTTAAAAATATCAAAATTTGCTTCAGTTCAACCCCCTCGTTAAAGCTAATAATCATCAATCCTACACTGGGCAATGCTTAACTTTAGCTTTTTATTTTTATCTTAGGAATTCTGACTACTGTTAATGTACACAACAAAGTTACAGCATTCAAAGAGTACGTAACAGGAATGAGACATTACAGTCACACCAATTTCTTTAACTACAAATAATAAACTTGTAAATACGTTTAATGGACATTTATTTAAAAATCACTAAATTCAGCTTTTTATTTAGGATTTTTGTGTTACAATTACAGCTGCTCAACTCATCTGCCAGTCACAACTGGAGGCAAAATACTGCGACATGACATGACTAAAACTTGTGACACATGCCACACTCCACTGTCCACTGACACATGCCACTGAAACCCGGAAGTGCCACCGGAAGTGTCATTGAGAATAGCGGCATGTGCCAATGGCATCTGTCATGTCATGTCACTTTTGTCGCACTGCACTGTATATATGTCTCATATATATATATATATATATAAATGAGACAGAGAGAGAAATATTATCAATCTGTTTTTTGAGTGTCTCTTGGTCAGTGTGGGCAAACACTGACACATATGAAGAAAACATTATGAATACAAAATACAAAATTAAACATTCCAAAACCTAGACAGGATCTGAAAAGAGTGTGCAGAGCAATGTAATAAGAGAAACCACCAGAATTTCTGCTTAAACTCAACTCAGAAGGTGGCCTATTTTAACTGAAATTAATGGCTAATTTTATCTTAACACATTAAGGTAAATTGGGCCAGTGACTAAAAATGCATTTTTTATATATATAAAAATCTGGATTATTTAGCAAAATCAGCATTTCATCTCACAGAGGCCATCAAGACATGGGTTATGAATCATTATTTCTAAATGTGCATTTGTTTTTTATTGATTTATCAACCTTATTATTGAGAAGTAAGATTGGATATGTCAGGCCACTCAGCTTGCTTTTTTCTGGCCTGGTCTCAAAATGAGGCATTGCCCCTCCCCCTTAGCAACCTCAGATATTTAGCAACCCTAAATATCAAATACTGTTTTGGCAACATTTTGAAATTCTTTGCAGTCATTGGCTGTTAACTTTTAAAGAGATAAGACACTCAAACCTTAAATGGCCCATTTTACCTAATGGCCCAATTTGCCTGATATCACCCTATATATATATTTTTTATATTGTGACGTGACGTGACGTGACATGTGGCCAAGTATTGTGACCCATACTCGGAATTAGTGCTCTGCATTTATCCCATCCAAAGTGCACACACACAGCAGTGAACACACACTGTGAACACACACCCGGAGCAGTGTGCAGCCATTTTTTTTTTGCTGTGGCGCCCGGGGAGCAGTTGGGGGTTCGGTGCCTTGCTCAAGGGCACCTCAGTCGTGGTATTGAAGGTGGGAGAGAGCGCTGTACATTCCCTCCCCCCACCTACAATCCCTGCCGGTACGAGACTCAAACCCACAACCTTGTTATGAGTCTGACTCTCTAACCATTAGGCCACGACTTCCCCATATATATATATATATATACAGGGCTCGCAAAAAATGAATTTAACTAGTCTGAATAAAAGATATTGTATTTTTTCTTTAAATAACAAGTCAAGAGAGGTGCAACGGATCACAAATCTCACGGTTCGGATTATAATACATTATCATATCACATTTTGAGTCACAGATCAGATCATTTTTCAGATGAGCAAAAAAAATATGGTTCTTTATTATTTAAGTTACACTTATTATTTAAAGAACAATTTACTACTTCGATACCACAGCAAAAACTAGTAGCATATAGGGATGTAACGATTCACTCAACTCACGATGTGATATGGTTCACGATACTGATTTCACAATACAATTTTCTCACAGTTTATTTTTTAACAAACTGAGATTTAAGACTGATTTTAAAAAAGGTGTCCTTTTGTTATTTCTCAGACCAAAAGGCTGCACATTGCTTTGTGAAATTGAAAATGTCAAACAGTATACTAAATTGAAATTTTAAAACAAATCCTAAATCAAATAAATAAATAATACAAATAAAAGAAATTTCTCCATGCAAGTAAACTAAGGTTTTGCCTGTGTATTTTAATCACGATCCAAACAAAGATGCTGCATACATCTTATTTAGATTGTAAAATTGTGAAATTTGAAACAAAAACAAAATGGTCTGACTTTGTGATACTACATAAAAATCTGAACGAAACAAAAACAGCAGACGGGCTGAATGAGACAGCAGGTGGCGCTTAAACAGCAGGTATTTATAGGCTGCTGCCCCTTTAAGACCGAATGCACGGATACAATATAATGATGCACGTGCGATTTCTTTCTCCACTTTTTACGTTAAGTTACATGAAAATACTTGCCGAGATAGTTATTTTGAGATAATTGTGCATGTATGTGTTTATTCAAGCGAAAGAGGAATCAATTAAGTGTTCCTACTCTGCCTGGAACGCCTATGTATGTGCGAACTGAATTCTTCA